GTAGGACTCCTCCTTTCCTACTCCTACTAGGAGGGGAAGGAAGGGGGAAAGGAAAGAGGGGGGCGCCGCCCCCCCTCCTAGTCCAATTCGGACCAGAGGGAGAAGGGGCGCGCGGCCCACCCTGGCCGCCCCTCTCTCTTCCCACCAAGGCCCATGTGGCCCATTAACTCTCTCGAGGGGTTCCGGTAACCCCTCCGGCACTCCGGTTTTCTCCGAAATCACCTGGAACACTTCCGGTGTCCGAATATAGTCGTCCAATATATCAATCTTTATGTCTCGACCATTTCGAGACTCCTCGTCATGTCCGGGACTCCGAACAAACTTCGGTACATCAAAACTTATAAACTCATAATAAAACTGTCATCGTAACGTTAAGCGTGCGGACTCTACGGGTTCGAGAACTATGTAGACATGACCTAGAACCATTCTCGGTCAATAACCAATAGTGGAACCTGGATGCCCATATTGGTTCCTACATATTCTATGTAGATCTTTATCGGTCAAACCGCATAACAACATACGTTGTTCCCTTTGTCATCGGTATGTTACTTGCCCAAGATTCGATCGTCGATATCCAATACCTAGTTCAATCTCGTTACCGGCAAGTCTCTTTACTCGTTACGTAATGCATCATCCCGTAACCAACTCATTGGTCACATTGCTTGCAAGGCTTATAGTGATGTGCATTACCGAGAGGGCCCAGAGATACCTCTCCGACAATCGGAGTGACAAAACCTAATCTTAAAATACGCCAACTCAACATGTACCTTTGGAGACACCTGTAGTACTCCTTTATAATCACCCAGTTACGTTGTGACGTTTGGTAGTACCCAAAGTGTTCCTCCGGTAAACGGGAGTTGCATAATCTCATAGTTTCAGGAACATGTATAAGTCATGAAGAAAGCAATAGCAATATACTAAACGATCAAGTGCTAGGCTAACGGAATGGGTCATGTCAATCACATCATTCTCCTAATGATGTGATCCCATTAATCAAATGACAACACATGTCTATGGTTAGGAAACATAACCATCTTTGATTAATGAGCTAGTCAAGTAGAGGCATACTAGTGACTATATGTTTGTCTATGTATTCACACATGTATCATGTTTCCGGTTGATAAAATTCTAGCATGAATAATAAACATTTATCATGATATGAGGAAATAAATAATAACTTTATTATTGCCTCTAGGGCATATTTCCTTCATGGTCGCCTCGCGCGGTCAACTCGTTGCCAGTGGCCCACACACCGCTTTTTGATGGTTTCCCTTATCTCTTCATGCGATGTCGTTCTCCTCCACTCATTTCCCCCATCCTGAACACTATCTCTCTTCCCCTTCTCTCTTCTTCTTCTACATGCCGCTGCTAGATATCCATGGCCACTTGCGTTGCAATACGGGGAAGGAGCCGGCTGCTGCGGGCGGGTAAAGCGGCACAAGTGCTGCAAATCGGCCAACGCAAGTGCTACAAGCAGCGGAGCCCCCTGTTTTGAGGGGAGGCAACGACGGGCTACAAGCTGGGCGGCCAACGCCAACCACTGATGTGATTCGCCGGCGGAGATGCTGCTACCCTGGCGCAGCGGAGCTGCAACCTTAGTTCGGCGGAGCTACAACCATAGGCTGGTGGAGTTGCAACCAACAAAACAAATGCTGGAACCGGCGACAGCCGTGGTGCGACGGTGATCCATCCTTGCTGGAACCAGCAATTTTTTTTGCTGGAAGCGATGATTTGTTTTGCTACGACCCAGTGACAATAATTCATAGTTTTGCTGGAAGCGGCAAGTGCTTTTGCTGGAACCATTTTCTTTTTTTGTTGCAAGCATTATTTCTATTTCTTATCTACCTTTTGATTTTTGCTGGAACAAACATCCGTTATTTTTGTTACCATCACCTTGGAGTTTTGCTGGAGCCAGCGTATTTTTTGCCACAACTGTTCTTCAGTTATGTTGGAACCAGCGCACCTTTTTGTTTGTGATTTTGGCAATGGCGAGTGTGCCGGTGGTGAGGGTTGACGACGAGCGACGGGGGCGGCTGGGCATGAGGGGAGGTACCGCGTGCTGCACGGTGCAGGGGAAGTGGGAGTGGGCGGCTGCCATGGTTTTGTTTTCGTGGTTTTTTTCGTTTATATGTGGAGGTGAGGATGTGAAAAAGACAAGGTGAGAGAGATATCGTACGACTGCGTGTGGAATGATCTGAGGGCTGCGCAGGGACCAGCCCAAACTTTGGGCCGGCGTGCCGGCGCCTAGTACTAGCATCTCTAATTTGGCTCCCCTGATTTTCACGGATGGGCCCGCCTCACTTAATCAAATTTCAACCAATCACTCTTAACCACCCCGTAAACCCCCTTAGTAATCCCGTGTGTGTAGCATCTCTCTTAGTTGGCTTAGCTACCGATCAGGATTGTCTAAAAAAAAGCTACATACCAGGAGGATATAAATCATAGCATTCACCCATAGCGCCCTATGTTGTACATGACTCGAGGGCCTATTCAAAGAAATTCTAGTTGACGGGATGGTTTGTGCATTCCGAATTCCATGCTCCATCATATGGCATTTAAATCGAATCATGAGGGCGGACACAAGATTTCAGTCAAGCCCAAGCCGTCAATCATCACGGTCATCTAACCCTAGGCGGCACGGGCGGTGTCCCCAGCAGCGCGTCGCCGGCCTCCTCCCCTCATCGCCGCCGAAGGCCATCACCAGGCAAAACCTGGGTCGTGGCGGCGGCGGGGTCTCTCTCCTGTGGCGTAGCACCCTCTCACACCCCGGCGCGGCACGCGATCCAGTGGCGTTCCCCGGCAGACAGTGGCTCTTCCAACGCCATGTAGCTCCTCCGGCAGCCGATCGCCCCCCCCCCCCACCGTGCTATGGCTCCATCCCCCCTCACCCGCGCGAGCTTCAGG